ACCAATATCAAAGTCCGGATATTGACCAAGACCAAATTTCGAATACTGACTAGTACTCACAATTTTTTCTGTTGGCTCATCATCGTCTAACTGGTCAATACGAAAACCGGAATTTGGTGCTGAAAGTTGATTGGGATTTGGATTAGAGAAAGGTTGTGGGTTTTGAGAAAAACTTAGTTGATTACTACCCGCTACTGACCCAACAATACTACTTCTAGGTTCAACAACATACAATGTAACATCATCTTGTGAAACACTAATGTAAGCAATGAATCGTTCAACATCTTCATTGTCGGTTAACAAATAAACTTTACAATTTCTCTGATAAGATAGCCTAAATCCACTTAGGGGCTCTAAATTCAATTTATTTGAAACACGTAGCATTAGAGTTTCATAAGTTAACTTTTGTAAAGACAATTTTAGTTGAAGATTCATGGGTAAAGGCATATATTGTAAAACACCATGAACATTATCCCATGACCCTCCAAAACACAAATCTATCCAAACATGATCAACATTAGATGATTTCATGGTTGTAAATTAATTTACTAAACAGACGAGCTGCGAAACTAAAACCTGTTGCCGGATTTGGAAGGATGTCGTTGGATATAGGAACGGATGTCGCCTGAGAGAGTGATAGATGGAGATGGAATGAGTTGCGATTTAGGGATTTAGTTTATGATTTCAGTGTTATATACCCAAAATTTCAGTGTTGTGATTTACAGATTCTCGTTGCGATTTACGGATTATCGTTGCGATTTACAGATTCTCGTTGCGATTTACGGATTATCGTTGCGATTTACAGATTCTCGTTGCGATTTACGGATTATCGTTGCGATTTACGGATACGCGTTGCGATATACGGATACGCATTGCGATTTACGGATACGCGTTGCGATATACGGATACACGTTGCGATTTACGGATACGCGTTGCGATTTATGTGTTCGCGTTGCGATTTTCATATTCGCGTTGCGATTTTGGAAAATCGCAATGCGAATTTGTACTATCGCATTGCGATTTTCAAGAATCGCGTTGCGATTTTGGAAACTGATTTGCGATTCTGGGGATCGCGTTGCGATTTTTATTTCGCGTTGCGATTTGTTTGGTCATTTTGGCAAATCCAAAAAAAGTTGGTTAAAATCGTATATTATAACTTTTTTTTTGTCACTGAGGCGATTTTCTCTAACAAAAATGCTAAATTACTCGGCCCTACTCCACGAGAAACCACCTTTCATAAGTACACACAACTAGGGTGTTTGAAAATATCCGATCCGTCGATCTGCCGACCTGTAATTTCTTTTTTAGATTTTTATATTAAGTTTAGATCACAAAATATCATTTAATTGGGTACTTGTCGACTTGATATTCAATTTTTTTATATATTTGAACTTTTATTCATAATTTTCAAATTATTTCATTCTAACCTTCTAAATTTCTAATTCCTTAAATTATTTCACCACAACAATTTAAATTATTTTTCAAAATATTTTTTAACTTCAAAATGGTTTATATTTAATTGTTTTTATTTAATTTTATTTTTAATAATTTTATCTTTAATTATATAATTTAGTTTTTAAAATTTTATGGGTGGTTTATGTATTATAGATTTTTAAATTTAAATTTGAGATTCTTTTATGAATTTTTTAAAATAATATAGTTTAAAAAATAAAAATATATATAAATCAGATAGCTGTCATCCAAAAATATAGGTACTCGAATTTTAAAGTTACCCAAACTTAACAGGTCAAGACACATCAATATTTTTGATATCTGATACTTCAAATACCTAAAAATTCATGTATCCAATTTTAAACAACTCTACACATAATACAATAAAATGTTATTTTGACGAGATATGACGTTTCAATTTGATAAAACAAACATTTTTAGAATTTGACTTTTTAGTGCACAAACCAACTTATCTCAATGGTTAAAGGAACTGTTGTTGTTTCTAAAGGACATGAGTTAGAGCACCGGCGATTGAAAATATAATTGGACGTTCATTGTCAAATGATTGAGAGTATTTAGAACATGTTCTACTTTGTAATCAACTTAGCCTAATTAAAAAAGAATTTAATTTTTAATTGAAATTTTAAATATTTTATAAACAGGTAACGTGATCGTTGATTCCAACTTAGATTTTTAAATATTTCGATATGAATTCGATTATCTCCTTTTCAAAACCCATCTGTACTTAAACTTGAGTTTCATGGGAGAAAACTAAACCTTATAATATCATGTCAAATCAAAAACTCATCGAGCTCTGAGTCCCATATTAATATAAAATGAGAGTTAGTAATCATGTATATAAATTCATCAAGTGATTTCATTAATATTTTAACAATCATGTCTATGAATTCATCAAGTGATTTTAGTAATTAAAGAAATTATTATTTCTTAAAATCCTATGTTCGAACAACTACACATGTAAGATGTACGCGTGTTGTCAATAATTAAAAAAATTCTAAACATATATTATTTTTATAATCGTCTCGTGTTATAAAAAAAATACAATCATATCTATAAATATAATTAATAAGTGTACATCGAAATTACGGTAGAATAGTACACGAACAAATGGAAAGGACAATTACAACACTATATTCCTAAACAATGGAAACAGAACAGGTTGGAACCTTGTTGTCCTCAAAATCTTTGACAGTGATACTTCGGTTGCTTCGTTTACATATTTTTAGGGTTTCAGAATTCATTGTCCATGTCTGGTTTTTGTTTTTGCCTTGAAAATCAGTATGCTTATTCTATTAAAAGTTTCAGATTTTTATCTAAATTATTCTAAAATAATTTTTTTCTTAGCATAAAAATCAAATAAAGGAAAAATAAGTGAAGACGGATGAAATAATATATTTATTTATATTGCAAAAAACTTTTTTCTTCGGTGCAAAAGGTTTCAAGAAATTTTAAAATGTAATGGATTTCATCATCTTAATTCTAATTTTTCTTTGGGTTAATGTACATATGACCCCTGGTTTTGACTTTGATATACGATTCGAACCATGACCATTTTGGGTGCAATTTGGCCCCTGACTTTGTCTTTGAGCTGCAATCGGGCTCCTAACTTTTTGTGGGTGCAATTTGGCTCTCGAGTTTCGTTTGATATGCAATTTGGTCCATGACTTTTTCTGTAAAATTTTGAAATAATGATTAAGTTTTTTATTTATAAAGTAAAAGTTATCTGACGTGTTAAGATTAACATTACAAGTTTTAATTTAATAAAAATTTAGATATTTGATTAAGGATAAATTTATATTAAAAAGTTTAGGAGTCAAATTGCATATCAAAAATAGAATCAAGAGTCAAATTGTATCCAACAAAAAATCAGGGGCCAAATTAAGAAAAATGAAAACAAAATTTAGAGATTAACTTATAATTTCGTAGTAAACTTGAATTTCCCTTTAGCCCTTTGGGCCGTAAGAGAAAAATCTATCATTTCTATAACTCGGTATGCTTAAATCTGATTCGCTAACTTGAATAATTATTTGGGCTTTTAATGTATAAAACCATTGCTATTTCATGTTAAGACATTTATGCTTTTCCAAAGTAGAAGCTAAATTTATTCACGTGTTGAGTAAGTTTTCTATTAAAATAATTTAATTTATGAAAGTATAAGCTAATAATATATCGAAATCAACGGGATTGATTCAAGTGGTAAGCATTTTTATATCACTTAAATATAAAAACATAGATTTTGTTCGTTCTCTGTGATTTCTCACCAATCCCACTACATATTACACTCAAATCTCACAACTAAAGTTTTTAACAGGTAAAAGCACGTTATATGTGAATTCATCGAATAGTTTCATGAGAAAATTATATGTTATCTTGTAACCATTTAGATTATTTAAAAGAAAAATATTGTTACCTCAATTGTTATTGAACGGGTAAAATTTTGATAAAATATTTTTTAAAATACCTAATTTGATTTATATAAATATGAAAAAATAGTCAAAAAGAGAGGATTACTTGGTTTAGAGTCGTATTTTTGAAATAAAGAACGTAAAAAAGTGTTGAAAACGAGATTCGAAGATGGTGGTCTGTCAGTCTCTCCCGAACAGTGATCGCACCGTAGCTGTGTCGCAAAGCTGATGAAACCTTAAGGGTCGGACATGAAATTAATACAATGCCCACAGTGCTTGCTTAATGAATTATCTACTTTTCTATTCTATAATTTCGTATCAAAGCTTTAGAATATTATTATACAAGGTCATTTAGCTTTAGAACCAAGAAATAATATCAATTTTTACATTATAAAAAGTCGTAAATTTGGATTTAATTCATTAGGGTTTAGATACGATGTCCTTTTGTTTATTGGTACTGTATACCAACTCTTCTACGTATATTCCCAATTATACTCTCTCTTCCCTACATAGATCATTATATTCATATACGATTTCGTCGTAAAATGTTTTCAAATGTTAAACAATTAATTGCCACAGTTTGAATAATCATTAAAAAATTCCTTGCTGACATTTGTAGTATCATACAAATTCCTTTGGAATCGGACAATACATATACTTAGGTAGATGTAGAAAGTGGACCAGTTTTACTTACTTGGAAGACAAGGCTGTAGGTAACATCAGACAAAAGTAAGCAAAACCCTATATTTACATTGCTCTTCAAGCAATAAAATCAATGGTAAAAAAATGTAAATAAAAACCAGTAAAAAATATGAATGTATCGTTCTATTAATACAAGAAAACATTCTATAAAACATAAAATACCGAATCTACGTTGAAATTGAAACAAAAGCAAAAATAGACATACAAAAATATTTGATGAATTAGAGCATTCCCAAAGTGGCATGCCACGTTTGCCTCATTGATATACACGTGTAATAGCCGAGACAAAAAGTAATAGTATTTAAATAAATAAATAAATAAAGTGGGCAGAGCTCAGGGGCAGGGGGTATGGGGATGAATCGTTTATAATATAAAGGTGGAAACTTGGTATTGTTATCACTAACTTGAAAGAGAGTTCCTTTCGTTTTGAGTTGATTTAATAATCAAAGATGGGAAGGCAACCCTGTTGTGATAAGGTTGGGTTGAAGAAAGGTCCATGGACTGCTGAAGAAGATAAGAAGCTTATTAACTTCATCCTCACCAATGGCCAATGCTGCTGGAGAGCCGTCCCTAAGCTTGCAGGGCTGTTAAGGTGTGGCAAGAGTTGCAGGCTGAGATGGACTAATTATCTCAGACCAGATTTGAAGAGAGGACTTTTGTCTGAATTTGAAGAGAAAATGGTGATCGATCTCCATGCTCAACTCGGCAACAGGTGAAAAACAAACATTTTTTTTTCATTTGTAAAGTTGCTTTCTTTTTGTTCTTTTGGGAGTATTTGTCTTGTTTTACCAGGTGGTCTAAGATAGCTTCTCATCTCCCCGGAAGAACTGATAACGAGATCAAGAACCATTGGAATACACACATCAAGAAAAAGCTGAGGAAAACGGGGATCGATCCTCTCACGCATAAGCCATTATCCCCTGCCGAGGAACATCATCGTCCCCAACAGCAAGAGCAAAAGAAACAAGATGACAAAACAAAGGAACCTGAAACATCATCATCCTTAAAGTCCACAATAACTAAACCAAAGGAGGAGGAGGAAAACCACCCAATGGTGAAAGACGTTGAAATCAATGGTTTTTGCACCGATGAGGTTCCTTTGATGGAACCCCATGAAATTTTGGTTCCTAATTGTCCACCATCAACATCTTCATCCTCACCGTCTTCGTCTTCCTGTCACTCTTCCATGTTCCTTGAAGAACTACAGCACTTCCCTGGTTTTGACTGGCCATCTGATGATTACAACGCAAGCAACGGATTGAGCTTGTGGAATGATGATTTCAACATCTGGGATTTGCTAATCAATGAGGAAAGTGACAAAAGGCTACCTCTTGATCATTCATTATCGTCTCCTCAAATGGGATTTGATCAAGATTCTCGCCAACATGAACTTTTCTGATTAATTTCCACTGTTTTTTTCCCTTTTAATTTCAATGTGGCTATTATTTGTTGTAATATTCCTTTTCGGTTGTCACGCCTTGTAAAAGAGAGGAAAATAACAAGTTGCGAAAAAACCATCGCTTCTTTTTAGTTATATATATATATATATATATACATATACACACACAATTTGTATGTGATGAATGGAAGAGAAGCATAAATCAATATTCATGTGATTTGAGTTCAAATCTTGTCCTATTTAAATAAGACTGAGATTTTGTGATGAAATTGATTTTAATGATCTATAAGATTATTTTTGAAATATAGGTTGTGTCCAAAAAAAAAATTCTCCACCAACTTAAATTTTTTGATGAACTTTGCTTTGATTTCTTGAATTTTTACTTGTAATAATAGTAAGTTGCTTTAGAATAACATTCTAAGATTTAAAATGTACTAGAAGAATCATTAACCGTATCTGATTCAGATTAATTAATCAATAAATCATTATTAAGTTCCTAAATAATACTTAAAATTTAAATATCAATGTTATGAATAAAGTAAAATATTTAAAATAAAAATCACTATCATAATAGACATATGTAGTATTCGATCTTGATGTAGATAATTATCATAATATTCATCGGCTAATAGATAAGCATTAATTTTTTTTTATATAAATTATGCATAAAGTTTGTAATTAGTTGGAACTCATCAAGTCTCCTCAATAGTAAAAAAGAGAATAATGTTATCTCTAGAGGTTCTGGGTTTGAGCAGTTGTATCTGCAGGGTATGTACGTTGTCAATTGGTTACGAAAGTTTCAAACATGCATTACCTTATAATCATACTTAGACTATCAAAAAAATTGTAATAAATTAACTTATTGATTATTCAATTCAAGTAGTTACAAAAAATAAAAGGTAAAAATTTTGTAAAAGTATTCTCAAACTTTTTTTAAGTGTAAATTATACATTTTATCATTCATTTTTTTCTTACTCATATTTTGATCATTAAAGTCTAAATTTTTTTATTTACTCATAATTTGATCACTCTATCGTTAAATACTTAACAACGTTATGACTAGGCATTTATCTTTTAAATTTTTTGAAATGGCCCCAAAACTTTCTTCATTTTGTATAAAAAAATATTGGTTCCAAATTCCTTTGATTTCTCGATGATTGAGCATCTTCTTCCAAATCCCAACAGTGGAGAGGTGAAAAAGGAGAAAGCAAGATGTATATCTTGAGTACACATTGATTAGATGCTGGAAGTTGTACCACTTACTGGTTTGGAGTTTCATGATTTTTTAGATTTTGGGTTGAGTTTCACAAATTTTAAAGTAATTTTGAGAAAATCTAAACTAAAAGAACGGTAGGAGATGATGAGACAAGTTCATTAGTGTCTAAAAAAATGTCAGAGAATGGTGATTCCAATGTCAATGTGATACAAGAATAAAACAATAAAACATTTTTCTTTGAAGGAAGAAGATAAAAGATAGAGAGAGAGGAAAAAAAGAAAATAACGTGAACGACGGGTGAATGACATTTCAACAAAAAACAGTTCATGTTAGTACATGTGACTATCATGTCAACATTTAATTTTGTATTTAACACCTAAATGACCAACTTAGGAATAAATCAAAAGTTTAAAGAATAAACTAAAAAATTTAAAATTTTAATGGTTAAATTAAGAATAAGAACAAAATTAGGTGATAAATTTGTAATTTATCTTAAGATATAATCTCACTCCTTCCTTAACGCTCTCGTTTTCACTTCCTTTTCCAAAATGAAATTGCATATACGATAATTAATGTAAGTCCGTACTATTTGTATTGCATTTATCACTTTGGCTTAACTTGGCAACTACTATTTTAAAACATTGCTTTGTCGTGTAACCCAAAACCGTAGACTATTAGTAACAATGACGACGGTCCAATCGTATTTATCATTAAATAATATACACACGTGTCAAAATCTATCATTTAACTTCAATATTCCTCTCACTGTAATCAATTATCTCTTCTTTTAAGCCTGCAACCCACCTCCTTTTAAGATCATTATAGTTTACATTAAACTATTACTCGATATATTAATAATAAAGTGCTTTTTATCAAAGTTTGGAGTGAATTTCATCGGCCAATAGTTTGGAGTATTGTGGCCAATGAGCACCGTATTTGTTGCACTATATATTTCAACATCAATCTCATTATCTTCAATCCAAATCACTTCGGACCAAACTAAGAACATTCACTTTACCTGTCTTGTAAGATATTTCATAATATAAGGTTACCACATAATAATATTTTTTGTTTTATTAGAAATATGAATAATTTTATTCCTGGACTTGAAATGATATTGAACCTTAATTAATTCCGCGATTATTTTTTTTGAAAATGCTGATATTTAATATTTTGAAAATATAATGAGGAGGAGCGATATGGAGGCGCGTGGAGATACCGATCACGAATCACGATTGTCTGGATAACAATGATTAGAACGAAATGACATTGAATTGAACAAAAGTCTCATATAGAACCTTCATTTGTCCAGTCGCTGATGAACTCGTGGAATGGCGCAACGAAACATTAAATTGACTAAAGCACAGGTGTCGACTTAGCAGCAATAAATTCATAATAAAAGTCAACAAACTCTTTTTTTTTGGATATTCATAATAAAAGTCAACAAACTCTTTTTTTTGGATAAGTAAAATTTTATTTATCCAAGTAAATGTCAATACAAAGAACCCAGTCAAGGATCAAAGAAAGCTATGTACAACAAAAGAATGCTAACCTATACCCTAATTGTTACAAAGTAAAGAGTTAACATGATCGATCTATTGAGGTCTCTATTGCTAAGTTGAGCACCTACAATGTCTTTGATGGAGCTTAATAATTCTTCAATAGTTCTTGCTCTTCCTTGAAAAATCATGCGATTTCTTTCCTCCCATATAGTGTAGATGAAGGAACACCAAGCAATCTTCAATATGGTAGTATGAAGGGATTTACCTTTCCAAGATGAAGAAGCCCATGAAAGCATTTCATCCCATGACATTTGAGACTTGGATAGGTGATTGAGAGTTAAGATATCTTTCCACAAGTTGGTTGCTATTGAATAATCAGCAAATAGATGGTTTCTGGATTCATTTGAATCAGTACAAAGAACACAAGAGACCGTAGTGGTAATTCCCATGCGAGAGAGTTTGTCTCTAGTTGGAAGTCTATCAAGGATAGTCATCCAAGAAATAAGCCTTAGTTTAGGAATGTGAAGGGGAAACCAGATAAGCTTGTGACATGGGACCTTAGTATGTTTAATTCTTATCACCTCCCAAATGTGTTTAGTAGTCAGTGCACCTGCATCAAGAATAAGGATAGCCTCTGCTTTTAATTTTAAGAATCTTTTGAAGCTCCAACTAGCAGTGTGAATTTCAGTCATAACTCTAAAGTCTTTGTCTTTTATAACATAGCTGTAGATCCAAGCTATCCATAAAGAACCTTCACCAGCAAGAAGGTTTCTAATGAGCTGAATCATAGTGGCTTTATTCCAAGATTTGAGGTTCTTTAATCCCATACCACCTTCAGACTTTAGACAACAGATCTTCTCCCAGCTAACTCTTGCACCAGAAGTTGCAGAATCGGAACCCTTCTAAAGAAAGCGAGAGCATAACTGATTAATATTATTAATGACAGTCTGAGGGAGAAGAAACTTCATACACCAGAAATTTGCAGTGTTAAGAAGGACTGTTTTAATCAGTTCAAGTCTTTATGTGTAACTTAGATGTTTCCCAGACCACTGATAAATTATGGATTTAATTTTGTCAATGAGGCCAGAGTAGTCTTTAGCATTAAGCTTTCTAGTGACAAGAGGTACATCAAGATATCGGACAGGGAGAAGACCATGAGAAAAACCAGTAGAAAGCTTGATAATCTCGATAGTTCTATTAGGAATACCAACAGTAAACAGTTCGAATTTAGCTGCATTAATTTTTAGTCCAGACATGTCATAAAACTTTTCAAGCACTATAATCACACCAGTCACAGATTCAAGATTCCTTTACAAAAAATAAGCAGGTCATCAGTAAAAGAGAGATGTGTGAGACCAAGTTTTTTACATTTTGGATGAAATCCAAACACACCTCTTATTGCAGCAATATTAAGAAGATTAGAGAGGATGTTCATAGCAAAGACAAATAAGATAGGGGATATAGGGTCTCCTTGTCTTATGCCTCTTTCTCCTTTGAAATATCCGATCAAAGAGCCATTAAAAGAAATAGAATATCTTGCTTCAGAGAAACAAGTTTCTATCCATTTAATAAACTTAGTAGGCAGCTCAATAGCCTTGAGAATATAAGATATGAATCCCCAATGGAGCGAGTCAAAAGCCTTATGAAGATCTATCTTAATAGCACATCTAAGGGATAAAGAATTCCTCTCATAACCTTTAACAAGTTCTTGGGCAAGAAGGGTATTATCAATAATGGATCTACCTTTGACAAAGGCAGATTGGTTGGGAGTAATTATGTCAGCCAGCAGAATAGAGAGTCTCTTCACAATGATTTTAGTGATAGCTTTATAAACCACTGAACAACAGGAAATTAGTCTATAATCAGTAACCTTGCTAGGATTAGTGATCTTAGGAACCAAGGTTATAATGGTGGAGTTAAAAGCATGAGAGGTGAAAGAGTTTTGAAAAAAGAATTGAACAGCTTTACTAACATCTTCCCCAATAACAACCCAAGACTTCTTGAAGAATAAAGGAGAATAGCCATCCGGGCCAGGAGCTTTGTCATTACCTTGAGTAAAGATAGCTTCTTTTATCTCCTCATCATTAATGTCTTTGTCTAAATCTGCTAGAATTTCTTTAGTCAAATTAAGATTAAACAGATTTGTCAGAGTAGCCGGGTCTGTGTCTTTAACATTTGTGTCGGCAGTACCCAATTATTTTTTGAAGAAACCAGTGATTTCATAAGCCATATCATCAAAGTTTTCAAGTATGGTTCCTTGATCATTAGTAAGACTCTAATGGGTTCTCTCTTGTACTTTGAAGCAATTATAGAGTGGAAAAACTTAGAACATTTATCCCCCTCTTTGAGCCACTGAATTTTGGATTTTTGCTTAAGGAACATGTTTTCAGCAGTTTCAAGGGTTAATAGCTCAGACTGAATTCTCAGTTCAGTTTCGATGGGCTGCTACCCTTAAGGGTTAAAAGTTGAACATGCTCTAGCTCTTCTTTCTTTTTCTTCACCCTATCAGAAATGTTGTTAAAGTTTTCCTTGTTGAAATCCCTTAAGAAAGATTTAAGACGTTTAAGTTTAAGGAAAAGAAATTTCATATGGTTGCCTTAAACAGGCTGCTGCCAGGACTGGTGGATTTCATGCAGAAAATTTGGATGAGTAGTCCAGAAGTTAAAAAACTTAAAAGGCTTTGGTCGGTTAATGGGAGGATCTTTATTAAGCCAGGTAAGAATCATACAATGGTATGAAGACCAGGAGCAAGAAATTTAACAAAAGAATTATGGAAAGAGTTTACCCAAGCAGAGTTTATAAGAACTCTATCAAGTTTCCTGGCAAGAAATGAATCTTTTTGTTTGTTGCTCCAAGTATAAGTTGACCCAAAGAACGGATGATCTTGAAGAAGGAGATCATTGAGAATTTCCTGAAAGTCTTTCATTTCAATATAAGAATAAGGTCCAAGCATATCATGATCATATCTTTCAAGAGAGTGAAGGAAAATGTTAAAATCTCCCCCAAGAATCCAAGGAAAAGAACCATAGATAGAATCAAGGTCTCTAAGATGCTACCAGAGAAGTCTTCTTTGAATTCCATCATTTTTCCCATAGATAGCAAATAAGATAAAAGGGGAACCTTTATAGTAACCTTTGACTGAGATACATTGATCAGAAGCATGACAAAAGGAGAAATCAAGTTATTTTTTTTCGAAAGGATCCAAATTCGACCATTGGGAGCAAAATCATAATTAGAAAAGATATTTCAATCCCTGGACTTGTTATTGAAAATGACTTCAGCATTTTCGTTTTTGACTCTAGTCTCCATCAAACAAAGGACATCGATCTTATAGAGATTAGCTCTAAGAAGAATTTTATTTTGTTTCTAAGGATTATTTAATCCTCTAACATTCCAAAAACATATAATCATTAAGAAGAAGAAGATCAACCACCTCCAATAACTCTATCAGAGTTACTTTTAACTTTAATTAAATGTTTCTTCTTTTTGGCTTTATGGTCTTTGAGTAGCAAAGTCACACCTGAGGCAGCAACCCGAGGTTTTTTGCAATGGTCCTCTAGAGATGGAGAGTTCTCATCAACTGTGTTTAATATTTCAAATCTGTTAGCAGAACCTTTAATTGCATATTTGGTTTTAATCTTTACAGGTCTTTCTCTGCCTCTTTTTGAAATAATTGGATCTTTGTTATCTTTGACTTTAGAGTCTGAGTGAAGATGGATAGATGGAAGACCTTCTACAGGGGGTTCATAGGGAATTAATGGAGAAGGAGAGTCATTGCACACAACATTTGAAGATTCAGGCTCCAAGATCACATTTGGAATATTTGAGATAAGGTTTGTAGAGTCCTCTTTACAAGGAGATGCAATGATTTCAAGAGAAGAGTATGAATTGTTAGTATCATTAAGAGAATTATCAGCACTTTTAGAAGAGTCACTCTTTTTCCTCTAAATCTGTGTAGAAACAGATTTAGCAGTCGATTTAAGGAGACATCCTTTTTCATTATGTCCAAACGAGTTGCAATTCTTACAGCACTTTGGAAACCAAGGGACTTCCACATAAATTGTAGTAGACTGACCATTAGCCATAACAACTTCTATAGTTTGGGGAATATCATCGTTAACTCCTACCTCAACATATATTTCTGCAAATTCTAGTCTAGTTCTAGAGGCAATAACAGAGTCCATAGTTAAAGGATTTCCAATGGCGCTAGCTATATAACTTAATCCTTTTCTCGAAAATAATTTGAGAGGTACATTATAAATATGCACCCATAATGGAATTTTAGACAAATCGAAATGTAATCTTTGAAGGTTAGGCTCCCATTTTCTTAAGATTAACGGCTTGTTAAGAATGTGCCACAGACCATTTTCCAATACCCAATCCCTAGCTGTATCAGAATTGAATGAAAATAGATAGAGGTTGTTACCAGCGAAACTGACCTGGACACGAGCTCCCTTAGAAGGGTTATTCCACAGGTTTTCCACTATTTTCTGTATTGTGGAAAAGTTTGGAGCTGCCCCGAGGAATTGCCCCACCAAAGAAGATTTCCAATCAACGATTCCAGCTTTGAAGACTTCTGGGAGAGGATGAACAATCGAGTTAGGGTTCTTAGATTTAGGGGGAATTTAGCTCTTGTCCAGAATAACAGACGGATAGCTTCCTCCAATCCATGCTTCGGAGAAGCGAAACCCAGATGAAAAGAACCGTAAGGAGAATAGACCAAGTAAAACGAAATACTGAAAGTCACCGGAGGAACACCATAGAGTCTCCATTTCGTTAGACCAACTAACGTACGCCTAGAGAAAACCGCTATCGTGCGCCTCGAGAGAAAACCTTACTCCCTTGGTCTTTGCATACGTTAATCCGTTTCTTTTTCTTGTTTTGTCAACAAACTCTTGGTGTCTGTAACAGTATAATAGTTGGAATGTGTCTTCTCTGTTATTTATTTATGGGTAAACTACTAGAATGGTCATTTACCTTTTATGTTTGTACATTTTTCTACTAAATTCAAAACAGTTAAATTTTGGTCACTAATATTATCGTCTCATTAAGTTTTGACATGATTTGTCAGTAAAAGAATTTAATTTTTATATCAACCCTGAATTTTAAATAAAATGCTAATTATAAAACTTTTTGTAAACTCAAAATAATTTAAGAACAATTTTTAATTTACATATTTTTTTCAATATGCTCTCCTCACTCATGCCACGTATCCAAAATTCATATTGTTCATTTTTTTTTGTCGTCAATCATCTATATCTGACAAACATAAAGCAAGATGTATGCTTCGAGAAATTATTTCATTTTTAACTGATTTTTTTTATGAAAATCCAGTTGCAAATATTGACATCACATTTTAAATTACTTAATAATCAAATAAATAATAATAACGACGTGAAAATTAGGCATGGGGCGGTCGGAGAATAGCCCCACGCGCATGTGTGTAGTGGAAAATAGGCCATTTTTGCCTTCCACTTTTATTTTAAATATTCTTTTTTTTTCTTTTAGTTTTGGGATCATATTGTAATTTATGAATCAATGATCCAATGAGTGCATCATATATTCTGTCCATTTCATGCAATTATTATGTTTCAATTTTCTCAATTCAACCAATGCTAACATTACAGGTCATTGTTTTGTAACGCTTTTGTCATATTACGTAAAATAAACTAAAAATTAAAGTTCTCAAATAAATAAAAATTAAGTATTAGGATGGAAATCATAGTTTAATTTGTTTTACTTGAACTTATTTGATCAAGCTAATGATTTAAATTTGTAATCCAAATAAAGAGATACCCATCACTCGATCAAATTAATTTTATATTAAAAACTAATGTTACAATCTTTATCATATTTATGTTACGGATAAAAGGGAATTAGTTTATATAAAAATAATTATTAGATTTAGTTAAAAATAATTTTAATTTGAATGATTTTTTTTTAAATTTATTAGTCTTATGTTTAATCATTAATTAATGATTATTATTTTATTTTAAAATTATATAAAAATATATCAATATAGTAACATTAATTGTAATTCAAAGTAAGGATAATTTTATAATTTTCAATTGAGTTAGTGTTCGATTTTAAATATAGTCTAGATAAAACCCTCAATTAATTTAGTATTATGAGTTAATCATATATCGTTTCGATTGTCAAATAACTTAAAAATTCTCTTTGTAAATCGTAATCAATGTTATTATAATAACATTTTTTATGGATAATCAATTTCATTACCCAAGAAAGCAGGAGATTTGCTACAAAAACCAAATTAATACATTACTGCAAATTAGCTACTGACTGAACTCAAACCATAGAAACGGGAAGTAGAATACAACAATGCTTACTAAAAGCCCCAACTTACACAAAGGGCAGTATTCCTCAAGTACGGTCTACTATTCCTCTCCTTCCAGACGTTGTAAACATACCCAGCCAGCGCTAGCTTCAACACTCGCACAATAAGTGATTTACCTTTAAAACAGTGGTTAGCCCAAGCCAGCTCCCCATTCCAGCTACTCGCACCTTTGTTGATACCGCATAGGGAAAGAACAACCTCCCATAAAGCTTTAGCCTGTCCACACTCAAAGAAAATATGATTTCTAGTTTCAGGCTCAATGTCACAAAGCAAGCACTTATCGCTTTCAATAGCTAATCCCATCAGCATAAGTCTAGCTCGAGTAGGGAGCCTATCCAAGACAGTCATCCATAGGATAAGACTATGCTTTGGAATGCGACCAGAAAACCATACCAACGGTGCCACAAGACTTTCGAAGCCGCAATGTGCATATCTTCCCAGACTTTCCTCGTGCTAAGCTCTCTGTATGGATCATCAAACAAGTGAGAAATGGTTGGTCTCAAATTTAATAAGCATTTAAAACTCCAGCTAGCATTAATAGGAGTGCTCATCTGCCAGAAGTCAGCCCCCTTGATCACTAGGAATGGGTCCAAGCCACCATAAGGATCCATCCTCGGCCAGCAAATTTCTTATCAACTTCACTAAGCAAGCTTTGTTCCAGTCACCTAGATCAAAAACACCCAGGCCACCCTCAGATTTTAATAAACAGATCTGCCTCTAACTGACTCGGGCTCCCTTTGCAGACACATCAGCTCCTTTCCAGAAGAATCGAGAACAAAGTTGCTTGATTTTCTTTATCACCACTCGAGGAAGCATAACCTGCCTACACCAATAATTTGCAATGCTGAATAAAATAGCGCGAATCAACTGCAACCTGCCAGCAAAGCTTAGGTGTCTGTTAACCCACAAATTCAGTTTGTCCCTTATCTTCTCAATGAGAGAGCGACAGTCCTTTTCTGTCAGCTTCTTAGTCACCAAGGGAATACCCAAATATCTCACAGGCAGTTTCTCAATCTTGAATCCAGTGGTCTCTCTTATATCATCACACAATGCACTCGAAATTCCATCAATATATAGCTCGCATTTACTAGCATTAAGCCTCAAACCCGAGAGAGAGTAAAACATGTCTAAAACAGATTGGACACACATGATGGAATCAAGATATCCTTTGCAAAAGATGAGCAAGTCATCAGCAAAACAAAGGTGGGTGAAGCCAATTTTCCTATACTTGGGATGAAATCTGAAAATCCCTTGCTGAGCAGCTATATTTAATAAGCTAGACAGAACATTCATGACAAGGATAAAAAGGTAGGGAGATAGGGGGTCTCCTTGCCTTACCCCTCTGGAACCTCTATAGTACCCCACTAAGCTGTCATTAAGTACAATAGAGTAGCTAGGTTTAGTGAAGCAAGCCCAGGTCCAACCAACGAATTTCTCAGGCAAGCCTAAAGCATACAATACAATATCAATAAAATCCCAATTCAAGGAGTCAAATGCCTTTTGGAAATCTATTTTCATGGCACACCTATGGGAGATGTTCTTTCTATTATAACCCCTGACAAGCTCTTGGGCAAGCAAAGTGTTATCAACAATGCTTCTTCCTTTAACAAAAGCAGTTTGGTTTTTTAAAATCATACTGGGGAAAACATCATAGAGACGCTTAACTAAAATCCGAGTAACTGTCTTGTAAATCACAGTGCAGCAAGAAATAGGCCTGTAGTCCTTTACCATGTTAGGATTAGGAATCTTAGGCACAAGAACAATAGCAGTAGTATTGAAAGCAGAGAGGATAAATGAGTTTTCAAAACAGTACCTAATACCAGCTTTGAAATCTTCAGCAATAATAGGCCAAGCTGCTTTGAAAAAGAATGGGTTATAACCATCAGGACCAGGAGCCTTTTCATTCTCTTGTCCCCAAATGGTCTCCCTTATCTCCATATCAGACACTCCCCTACATAAATCTTCAGCAGCCCCAGTGGGAAGAGTATACTTCAGGAGTCTTTAACAGTGGCAACATTACAACCAGAAACATTCGAATCAACAACCCTAATTGCATCTGAAAGAACTGGACCACCTCATTAGACATATCTTTAAATGAGTCAAGTCTAGCTCCAGCCTGATTGTAAAGTACCCTAATAGTGTTATTTTTCCTATTCCTTGTCACCATAGAGTGAAAGAATCTGGTCCCTTGGTCTCCCTCAGTAATCCAGCTTACTTTGTCTTTTAGCTTGTAGAAAAATAGCTCAGCTTCTTCAAGAGCTTGCAGCTCCTTTTCAACATCCAGTTCAGAAATGATGTTCATACCAGTATGAGCAAGCTTAAATTTGCCAGCTGAATGGTTGAAAATTCCTCCCTTTTTTGCTTTACGCGATTAGAAATATCATTAAAACAAGTTCTATTAAGATCTCTGAGGTAACCCTTCAATCTCTTAAGCTTATTGAAGAGAGCTTGTGCAGGATTGCCAACAACTGCAGACTGCCATGATTTCTCAACAATGGACAGAAACTCAGCATGCTTCGCCCAAAAATGGTCAGAGCTGAACAATGGTCAGAGAAGTCCCCAGGAGTTTGGAACTCCACCTCTGATTCAATAAAGTATCAAGCCAGTTTGAGTTCATTAGTACACGATCCAACTTGCGTGCAAGGTAAGTACCCTGTTGTTTATTCGGCCAGGAAAGAAAGGACCAGAAAATGGGTGATAAAAACCCCCAAATCCCCTATACAATTTTGAAAGTAAAAAATGTCAGCACTAACAACCACGCTAACAGTAGCTGAGCTTTCCTCAGCCTTCAAAATAACGTTAAAATCTCCTCCAATTAGCCAAGATAGATTCCCTATTGCACATCCCACATAATTCAGTTGATTCCACAGCTTCCTCCGTGTGCAGCTATCATTAGAACCATAGACTGCAGAAATTATGAAATCCTAACCCCAGAAAGCCCCTTTCATAGAGATGCACTGATCAAAAATAGAAAGAACCATACAACTCAAACTTTTGTGCCATAACATCCAAATACGACCGTTGATTGAGTAACTGTAGTTGCAGCAATAATTCCAGTCACTAAAGAACTAATGTAAAATTCCCCCAGCGTTGTTCTCCTTTACTCTAGTTTCAAGTAGGCACAGAATGCTGATTTGAATATTTGCAACCCATCTCAGCACTTTATTTTATTTTAGAGGGTTGTTGAACCCTCTAATGTTCCAGAAACATACTAGCATGGAAGAATGGATGAGGATGAGGCACCACCTCTATCATATGCTTTCTTTACCTTTTCGATATGCTCCTTCTTTTTTAACTTTAAATCTTGAACTATCTTAGCCACACCAAGGGAAGCAGCTCTTCTGCCTGAATCCTCAGCAGGTAATAAGCTTTCAGGATCAATAGAGCTTAAGATTTCAAATTTGTTTTTGGAACCTCCCATAGCATTTTTACCACCAACTTTTATTGGCTTTCCTTTCCCTCTTTTTATGGGAGGGTTGCTACCACTCTTATTTACAACTTCCTTGTTAGGCAGAACTTTATCCTCTTCCTCACAACCCTGAACAACCACTTCCATATTTAGAATATCCTGTTCAGACTGAACATCAACAGAGCTCTCAGTATTTTTAACAGCACTGGATACTTCCATATTACTTAGTCCTTTCTGTTCAATAGAAACATTGTCAGTAATCCCTACAGTGACAACCTTACTAATACTACCAGTAATAGTCTGCACCCAAAATCCTGTAGACCCCTTGACCTCCAAACTTGCTCCACTTTCTTACCCTGTGGGCAATACTTTATAGAATGGCCAAACCTACTACACTGGTCACAAGAGATCGGTTTCCAAGGCACAAAGACCCTGATCCTGATAGTCGATCCGTCACACAACAAAACATCAACATATTCTGGAATCCTAGAGTCCACAGAAATTTCTACACAGACTCGAGCATACTCAAGCTTTTCCCTAGATGTCGTTATTGAATCCATGTGTAAAGGCTTGACAATTGTACTTGCAATATAGCTAAGTCCTTTTTGCGAGAATAATTCTAAGGGAACGTTGTACAATTGAACCCAAATCGGCATACAAATCAGATCAAAGCACAACTCCTTCAAATTCGGTTCCCATTTTCTAAGAAATAAAGGCTTGTGTTGAACATGCCAGGGACCATTCTCTAAAACCCAGTCCCTGGCAGAAGAATTGGCAAAGAAAACACAAATAAATTCGAACCTGCCAAACTGACCTTCGTCGGAGCAGCTCTTCACCACATCAACTCGACTGCTTTTGCAATGCACCAATAGTCGGAGTTGAACCAATAAACTGCCCACTAACGCAAATCGCCACTCCAGGATCCCTTCCTCAACATAATTTTCGGAGGCTTTACAATACAGGAGCCATCCACCTCTGACGGGGAAAAAATAAAGTCCTGCTCGCTCCCCGCCGCGAAGAGCTTTCTCTAGTCGTCGCTGCCTCAGCAGACATAGCCCGATGTACCCCTCAAAAACAACCAGAATCCAGAAAGAATGAGACAAATAATCAAGAAAATAAGGGTTCATCTTCAATCGCTGTTAGGCCTGCTAACATGCACCGAGAGAGAAGACGGTTTCCTTTTTTAGTTTTCAATCGTCAACAATAAGAGATAATAACATTTTTATCTTTTCATATTATATAATAATCTTTTGACTAACAACTCGTAATTACTTTATTAACTTCCACCCTGAAATTAAAATCATTGATATGCCAATGTGAACATGATTTAAACCTCTCTTTGGAATAGAACTATAATAGGAAAAAGGTATATGTTTTTTATTAGATCCAAAAGGTGGAATTATAAATATATATATATTGCTTAAGCATTTTCTTGACACCACGTCTTGAAATTTAGAGATGAATGGTTATCAAGGAACCCCACTACAAAGGGGATGGGATTAGTGTTTAGGTGCCAAAAACCAATCCTTTTCATTATGTCTTTGACATTATAATGATTGGATTATAATACATAAGAATTATTATTAGTTATATTGTCATTTTTCACAAAAAATAAAATAAATATATTTAAATGAAATATATCATCTTGTAAATTATATTTGTAACATTTTACTGATAGTATATTGAATAATAAGATACATATAATATCTTTGAAATCATAGCTTCAAGTCACATGATGTCAACACATGTTCATATAGTGAATCAAACTAGGTCAAATCTAAAATTATTTCATTTCCTTTTTCTTTTTCTTTTTTGTAATTTACTCCAGATCAATTAACATAATTTATTATTTTATAAAAATGAATTTAGTTATAAAAATAATTTCAATAAAAAATTTAGTATTCATAATATATCTAATCCAAAATTCCATCCATTTTTATTCATGAATACACAAAAAGCTTCCACATTGTTCTTGAATGGAGTAGAGTTGATATCATATTTTAGGGAATGGGGAGGAGACATGATGTTTTTGGGGACTAAATATTATTTTGTGGTTTTATTACGATTAGGATGAGACAATTCACCCATTTTGTATTTGGGCTGTTTCTCATCGGTCTTTGAACTAATCAATGGATTTTGCCGGCAGCTCTACCTGTATCAATCATCTTGCAACGCATTCTTTTTTCTTTTTCTTTGCAATACATATACATTTGGTTTTGCCGGCGATTTTAACCTAATCGATTTCTCTTTCTTTTTGGAACAAGCCTCAGTCGTGTCACAGTTCCTTTATTGAAGCTCAAATATGTACTAATTAATAAGCAATCAAAAGAAAAAGAAAACTGATAATGCCACGTGTTCTTGGTTAATGTTACAAAATAATCATTTAAAAAACTATAATTAAAAAATTATTTAACACATTGACTATATAGTTGTATCATAATTAAAAAATTGGCAAAATAATAATTGTCCCTGTAATAGACTCAACTTATCACTTTTACCTCTGTTGAATTTTCGCATCAATTCAACCGTCGAATTTTTGCATTGATTTAAATATCAAAATTGCTCACTTACATCATTTTATAATCTACCCCACTTAAAACCCTAAATTGAAAATTTTAAATTAGAAATTAAGATTTAGGATTTAGTGGTTACGATTTAAGGTTATCAATTTAGGTTTTAAGTAGAACGCAAGACTCTTAACCTTGTGGTCGTGAGATCGAGTCCCATGAGAAACAATTCATAATTCTGACTGCCGGAGGTCTCCCACGAAAGCTGCTCTCAACCTGACGTTGAGAGCAACCTACTATCCTACCTCTCCCTTATCCCATTACATATGGGAATAGGGTCAGTTAATTTTTAATTTAGGGTTTTAGGTATAGAATTTAGGGTTTACTCCTGTTGAAGTCCAAGGCCCAACCCGTATTTTAAACGGGTCACGTACTTTTATCAAAATCCGTTTTCCAGACCTGTTTGCTATTTTTGAAGTTTGGAGCAGACCTTCGAGTTTAGGAGTAAAAGCAAGATGCCAAAAAGGACCCTAAGACACAGACTATTTGGATTGGAACCCTAATATCTACGTATGTGGTAGAAGGTTTCCTCCCTCATCATTTTTGCACAACTGATAAACCAGAAAAACTAAACCCTATCCGTTTGGCAACCTAGAAAAGCAAAGCATGGGAAATATAACAGCTACAACAACATTACGAGAGATGCATTTGCAAAGTCAATATCCAAATTATAGTAAAATTATAAACAGGAAGATTCATGTTTCTATTCCTACATTACATATTAAACCAAAAAGCATCCTACTGTGTTTGTATCAGTGTCTCTGCCTAAACCTAATAACTTGCACCTCAACTTTACAAAAAGAGGAGAGTTAAAATTTATTAGTTAAATGAAGGCATAGCGTAGACAAGAAAACCGGAGGATTCACAATTTCCTACCTTGCTGATTCCATGACATGACCTATTCTGAGAGAGACAAAAAACTGGGGTTTGAGCTCATTCCTTGATTGCGTAAAAGCTTTAAAAGTTCTCTTTTTGCATGGAAAATATTTCATGTTCTAGGGTCAAACCTCTAATCAAAGCTCGTGTTTAATCTCTGTATTCACACCATCCTGTTCATTGACATCCTCTACGGGACAGCTTGAGACGATAGTTCCACTGTTATATGCATCTACCAGCAGCTTTCCTATTTTTGATCTCCATTCCGACATGTCACTTTCGTTTTTTCGATCATGGACAACTCTGTCACAGTAATTGAGCAGTGTTCCCAAGCCAGTATTCGGAACCCAACCATACTGCATCAACACCTTTGCCTCACCTTCACTCAAGTCTTCTCCAATCTGAACAAAAAAAAGATGAAAATACGCAGGTGAACATCTCATTATATCAATTGAAATAGAGATGCACTCAGTGCAGCTTCCCTACTCTCCAAATTGTACCAAAAAACTGTTTGAAATTTTACATCACATACAAATAAAACTATAATCATGAGTTTACACATAGAAGAAAGGAAAATAAACAAGCAAACAAAAATACAGCCCAATTATCCATGAAGAGTTATGACTAAAAAAAATACAAGAATTACTTACACATTTGACCACTTAATAGTGTTAAAACTTGTCCCCTTTTCATAATTATGATAGTAAATTACAAATTGCTCTAAAAACAAGCAAAATTTATAAAATGAATAAATGAATTTGCCAAGATATCCAACTATTCTGACCTAAACACTAGCAACCATCTAAATAAAAGGAATTAAATATTACCGATAATGGTTTGTTCTCAATCAGCGTTATCCTGCCACAGCTAGTAAGCTTCATGGCAGTCACCAATCTCATGACCTGCCAGCCAACGGTTAAGGAATCTAACAGCTCAAAAAAGTATGTTGCAAAACCATATTCTGGACGTTCAAGTACAATTCTACATTAAAGAAAAAATTAAATATTTCATCAGCCAAAATAATAAATGGGAATTGCAGACTTATAAGCATCATTCATGTTGAAGATCATTCACCTATGATGTCTTTTAAAGACAAATATAAAAGATTGAAGATCTCGGCACCAACCCCATTCAACTGGCCATTTACGAAACTGCAGATAACGGGTCTGAAAGAATAGGGAAAATAAAGAAAATCATTATTCAACAGAGATGCGAGACATTGACGTAGTACAAAGCTTTTTACCTGCTCCACAAGTGAGAATAGGCAAGCCAAGCAATAACTAGGTCTTGGGCCCTTTGGGCATCGTATAGAGGCGAACTTAAAAAGATGGCTGCGCTGAGAGAATAACTGTAACATCCCAAACTATGGGTTAGTGACTTAATTGTAAAGTTTTAGAATTTGGTGATTAAAGTAGAAGAATGGATTAGTTCAATGATTTATCTGGAAATAAATCCTAAAAGATGTTAGTAATTATAAAAGGTATTAAAGGGCAAAAGGGTCATTTGACCAAGAGATGAATTAAATAATGATATATATATATGGATAAGGATGAGAGATTTTTCAGAAATCTCTTCTCTCTTTTCTTCTTCATTTTCTTTTTCCTCCCGTGAAAGCTCCAAGGCAAAGGTAAGATTCCTTGTTAGCTGATGATTTGTTGATTTTAAGAGTGGAAAGCTTAGGTTGTCCTAAAATCAAAAGATAAAGGAGATAGAGAAGATTAAAGATTAGTGGTTCTTGAATGAAATCTTGAAATAGAGTTTATAATAAGAATTGGAAGTTGGATTTGACTTGTCATCAATCTAAGTAAGAGATATGAAGTAATATAATTGGATTTGAAACATATTGCAAAATTGATGTAATTATTGAATTACATATGGAAGATAGGATTTTGAGGTTTAAGATGAAATAAATGAGTATAGATTGTTTTAAGTATGTGTACTAGAGTTAAGAATGAAAAAGGGGATGAAACATGAAGGATTTAATCCAAAATGAATGATTTTTGGGTTCAAAAAGAAGATTCTGGGCAGAGTGCATCGATGCATATTCATTGTGCATCGATGCATCAAGGTTAAAACCCAGAAATTTGTTTGAAGGTGTATCGATGCACAGGTAGTGCATCGATGCACTCTTTTAAAATAGAAACATCGAATGCAATTAGTGCATCGATGCATAAGGCATGCATCGATGCATCCCAATAATAATACAACATCGAATGTATTTTATGCACCGATGCATCAGTAGTGCATCGATGCATACCCTTATTGAAAGAAGAAATTGACATTTATCTTAATCTAAAGAGTGAACCGTTAGAGTATATTAGTTATAATACTAATATAGATCTATGTATGATTATGTAGATATAGAACGTGATCCCATTCAGAAACAATTGAAGGATTAGAATCGAATCAAAGCAAAGCTAAGGTGAGTGCATCTTATTTTATAGAATTATATGGAAATTGGACTTGTGATAAGTTTATTTCCTATAGTTATAGTGCATGAAGTCTTGATTATAAGTATGTGAATGACATGAAATGTATGTATGCTTGATTATATGTGTTGACATGTTTTTGTATGTAATGATATGATGACAAGATATAAGATATGCGACAAGATATCTGTAATACATAAAACGGTGATATAAGTTGTGTAATAAACCATGTGAATTGATATAAATAATTTGGAGAATAAATAGAAAGGTGGGATAAAATAAGTAGTATTTACTTATAAGGTAAAAGGAGATTATATGAACAGATAGTATTGATAGGTCATATAAGACTACATGTCCATCTTTTAATGTAATAAAAGTGTATATGTGAAATGACATGATAGGTGATAAAAATCGTGAGCCTATATGAATATGTGATATATGTGATGTATGGGAAACATATGAGAACAAGATATGACAATGATTTACATGTCATATGAACACCAGAGAAGTGTTATTTCCTATAATTATAGTACATGAAGTAATAAATATAAATATGTGAATGACATGATTTTTATCATGTATGAATTCATGAGTAAAAGCATGTGTGAATATGATTTGTATGCATTATGTCATGTGAACATAAGAGGACAGAGCATAAATTATATGATATGAGATATATGAGAAAAGGTACATGTAATATGTGAATTATATGTTTATGTGAATATGTGATATGATATGAGATTCATAAATACATGTTTATGAGATATATGTTTACACACATATGGTATGTGACAGAAGAGAATGAACATGTGATTATAAGATCAATGATTACACGTACATTTGGTACGCGACTGAAAAGAAAAGATATATGTTCATAAGAAAAATGATATGAATAAGTAAATTGACTGTTATAAATGATAATGCCCATGTTATATGATAAGAGAGCTAGTGGTATAGTTGGCATCACAAGAGTTGAGGGTATACCTATATTCTACGGAACATATGGACAGAATTACATATGTCTTTCGAGACATATGGACAGTATACCTATGTTCTAAGGAACATATGGACAGAATTACCTATGTCTTTCGAGACATATGGACAGTATACCTATGTTCTAAGGAACATATGGACATAATTACCTATGTCTTTCGAGACATATGGACAATATACCTATGTTCTAAGGAACATATGGACAATTTACCTAGGTTCTTCGGAACCTATGGACAGTTGCCGAGGATCTTTATGACCTCTGGATAGTTACCGAGGATCTTTATGACCTCTGGATAGGTCCTTCGGACATTGATCGAGCTGTGGTGACAGCATATGTGTGCATAACCTCAATGTACTCACATACCTTAAGTTCTCACTAGTGTACATGGACTAATAAAGAGATTAAACAAACATACTGAATGTGATATGTATACGATGGATTTATAAATGGTTATCAAAAGTAAGTGATTTACACGTAGGTATCATGGGCGAATAAAAAGACAATAACAAATACAATATATGTGATGTATATACTTTTGGTGATATAACATGTGTTCCCTGAATTATAATGATGTTGATAAAGATAATAATATACATGGGCAATGCAATTGAAAGACAAATGAAAGTAAAAGTAATACAAGAAGGTATGTTGCATGTGTGTATGACATGATTATATATTGTTATCATGCAATAGATACATGCATATTGAAATGTCATGATTCAATGGTATGAATGCACATTCATGAATTTATTGTTATATGTTTATTTATTGCCTCACTAAGTCAACGACTTAGCGTGTGATTGTTTCACACGTAGGTTTCGAGAAGAGTAAAGAGTAATACGGAGCAAGACAGGTCAGTTCTCCTTACCAAATATCAGATCAGAAAATATATGTACTATATATAGAGTGTAGTTGGCATGTAGTCTAAAGATATAAATTGTATGAACTCTGATATATTTTGTAAACGTTTTGAATAAGTTAAATGTTATAAAAGTTTTTAAATTACTCATTATTTTATACGAATAAATGTTTGAAAAATCAATGTGACACTTCGGACTCGTATCCGGGTCGGATACGGGTTAGGGGTGTTACAATAACTGTCCCAAACATTATAAAAGGGCCAACATCAGAAGCGCTTTGGAAGGAAAGCATTTTCAAGCCAAAGTGGTAAATGGAAGAACACTTGAAACCCAGAGAAATCTCAGTTTATTGGATAATTAACATCCCTGCTCCATGTTAATTGAAAAGGGCAGCAGGGAGCATTGTAATTTTCATAGTTGTAGAGAAACTCAACGTTGGCAAGGGCACAAGGGGCATTTTAGGAGCTAGAACCCTTATGATGCCTCAGGCACAATATGTGTGTGTATATGTATAAAAGCTTAAGATGTATAACTATCATAATAAACTGCAGTTCAGTTTACCTACAAAACATGCAATGTTTCTGGTTAGCCAATATGAATGATTTCCTTATGGTCCTAGCTCTATTGTTGAATATTCCAACATTGAAAACTAGAAAGTTGTTAACATGGAATAACCTAAATAGTCTAAAATAGCCTAAACAAGTAGAAATATTACAACCAAATCCATCAAAATAAAATTAAATCCTAGACGACTCTCTTAACAAGTGTATCCCAAATTCTCCATCATAAACTCTAGCTCCAGTTGTTAATCAAATGAAGAGAACTTTTACTTGTTAGCTTATGCATGAATAAACCAAACATAGGCATTTAGTTTTTCAACTTTTTGTAACTATCTAGAGAAAATTGATCCGACAGATTCTTTTGAAATAAAGCATCAAAGCACATTAGAAAGTGACAAAACAAAACTGCAATAAATTAGTGAAAAAACCAACAATAAAATGAATTTTCACTCTCATAACCCTTGAACCTTTGTCATTACAGCTTCAAGCTCTGAGAAGCTGTCTTCGCTGAATGATTCATCTATAGGATCACCATTCTCAGACTCCCCATAAAGCTTAATTTCATTAACCGACACACCTTTATCAAGCAAAACCTGCAACCGAAATATATTAGAAACCAGAAGATGGCAATGCTGCTCTAGTAGCTTCAAAGTACGTAAACAACCAGCCATCTGATATTCCCATAGAAAACCAACCCAAGCCCATAAAGAGAAAAGTATAGTAAATAAAGTACCTTGAGAAGTCCAGGTGCATCTTCTTCTAATGCTGTTGCAACCGAATCCCTGCAAATTTTCACGAGCAATAGATTCCTGAGGTACCTACACAGACTCAATTTAAGAACTTAAAAGGGTAACTAAAAGGCATGACAGATCCTACGTGGCAGTCTTCTTTCTACTCCTTCGATGGATTAACATTATAGGTTTGGCAGGTTCAGAAACAAAAGGGCTATATCCAAAGGCGGCAGGCTCACTTTTCGACAAGCCCTCACAATTTGTGGAAGAATTCAATTCAAAATCCTCAAATAATATTGGCAGCTTCATCCGATCTCGTAGAAGCATATGGTCTATTACGTCATAGATGTCCTCTTCACACTTCATTGATACCATGTTATTGAAAGTTCTCCTTGTGGGATTTTGCAAGTTATTATAATGCAATGGTTCATCTTTCACTTTGACAGAAGTATTCAAACTTGAATTGCACATATTATTTGTATTTGCAGATACAAAATCATCTCCATCACGCAATTTGAATTCTGTTGATATTCTCTCAGAGGTACATATTATGTTGCTTTCTCCCTTTCGTTTTCCTGATCTATCAGATTCAGTCCCTACACAACAACCAGGAAAAAGTTAATATTGTTACCTGTAGAAGACAACCCATGAAGAATATAACTTGATGTACCAGTGGCAGAAGTCCTTTGAAGATTAGAAGCACTTCTGTTAGGTATCACATTAAATTCATTTTCACCTGACCAGGATTTTCCATCAACATATTGAAGCTTTCTTTTGTTCCTCCAAGCATAGCATTCCGAACTAGATGAACCATCTGCTGAACAACTTGAAAGATAAGCAGCATTTCTTGAAGGAATGTCATTAAATGGATTTTGAGCAGTTAAACATTCACCATCAATAGGCTGAAACTTTTGTTTAATTCTCTTGGTAGAGTAATCTATAGTATCTTCTGTCAACCCCACAGGAGTACCCTGCGTACCGTTATTTGACATAAACGAACTTAATAAAATGAAAAAATTAATTCAAAAAAGGAGAACGAACATTCTTGATTACAAGAATACACCATTAAGCTAAAAAAAGAAAAAGAAAAACAAAGTTCAGACTACCAAATAATATTATTACCTCCAATTCCACCACAACAGGTAGTGGATAAATCTTATCAAACACCTACTCGATTATTGTAAAAAGGGAACTAAAACAAGCAATTGACAAAAACCAAAACAAAGTTTTCCTACAAAACAGGTACTGGCCGTGTACAAGAACTACCATGTAGTAAGAAGGTCAAGAACTCTTTGAAGACAAGCAGAGGCTTTACTTCCAAAAACAATAAAAACAAAAGAAAAATTACTTCTATAACAGGTTTTGCCAATTCCAGCAAGGCAAGAGAAGAGAAAGGAGAGCGAAAAAAAAAACCAGATTCAACTTCTATTCCCGTTTTCATCCTTGTCTCCATAGAGGTAGTGAATATATAAAACACACAAGTATAACACGTAAAAACTGAAAATGACATTTCCCACCAAAATGGTGTGTAACAACTACTGCATTCTGCATGATAATACTTCCAACTTCAGAAAAGTAAGAGAAATTACCTCTGGAGCTGGCTTTTCCAATTCCAAAAATTTCCTGCAAATTCACACATGGATTAACAATTTTTCACCTAGGCCAAAGTTCTGAAAAATTATAAACAAGAACAGTAGCAAAGGGATATTTCAAAAAGTATATTGTATTAACCCAAAGCCTAACTAGAAATAAGCAATAATCACCAGAGAGAAGCACCTTTTTAGAAGCAATTTTCTTCTTTCTTTCAATACAATGTGGTCAAGTTCACCAAATGTACATTCACTGAGCTTTTTATCCATCTTATTCACAGCTATAACACCAATACTGGTAGAATTATTTGTATCACCTTTTGATAAACTCAACGGCATGTTATCAGCACAATCAACTTTTTCATTAGGAGAAACATCTGAAGGCACAAGATTTAAAGGGACGCACACACCAGAATTGATTTCCTCCAGTTCGGAAGCATCAGCTTCACTTCCTTGGCTGTTTCCATTTATAGGCAAATCTACATCTTGGCAGGAAGCTAAAACACCAGCAGTGGCAGAACTATCAGTATTATTTTTTGATAAACTCCGCATCATGTTATAAAAGACAACCTTGATAGAATCAGAAACATCTGAAGGCACTCAATTTGGAGGAAGAAAGACAATAAGCATCAGATTAGCTTCAGTACCTAAGGCTGTCAGCTCGTCTGATTGATGTCCTTGACTGTTGCCATTTATTGGCAAACCTACATCATGGAAAGAAGATACCTGCAGATAACCTCGAGAAACTGCAGAAGAACCTATCAGATCTTCACCAGTTGCAACTTCAAAAGCACCAGCAGTAACATTGCAATTAGGACTATCGCTTGGCAATTGTTGATCCACCTGATCTCGAGCAGAGCAAGGAGGGAGGGAAAGAGGGCCCTGCATATGTCAATCTCTAATAAATTAACATGGGAAAGAAAATAAGAAACAAGCAAACAAGAAAGACAGACAAAATATAAATACACACAAAATAGTTGCCATTTTCTCGTTCTACAAATAGTTGCTAATTTGGAATTTAGATAAAATGACAATACTTCTAGTTTTATCTTCATTTGGCATCCAACTTACATTCAAGTTTTGTTTCAACTGCTGAAGATGGAGCTCAGGTGTACTTACAGCCAGATGTCCTAATCAAAATTCGCTCTATCTCAACAGGTCTATTGCACCAAACATGATAAGCCATAAGACTAAATATACTAAACAACCGGATAAAATATAACTAATTTTCTTTTTCCTTTTTTTTTTTTAAAAAGATGAACTAAGAAGTTCCATTTTGAAGTTACCCTTTGGACTTGATATTGATCCGTACTAAGTTATGAAACTATGTCATTGGGAAATGGCGGTTATGGTACAATGGTAGATCTTTCCCTTCTTACCAACCTATCAATAATATGGCAGTTATGGTACAATGGTAGATCTTTTCCTTCTTACCAATCTATCACTAATATGGCAGTTATGGTACAATGGCAGATCTTTTCCTTCTTACCAAACTATCAATAACTCAAGGGACAGGGAAAGAGTGGGAAAAATAGACTACTTAATTTCAAATCCTGGATGACTAAGGAGCACATTTAAGTTCCAATTACAATCCCAGTCACTAGAATTAGGGAGTTGGAGAAAAGGACATGTACCTGCATAAAATAATTAAAAGAGAACAACTACACATCTCTCTCTATGGATCTTACCCCTCTTTTCATGTTCTAACTTCTAACATAAAAAACTTCTTTTTGCATTTTTCCTCAAAGCCTAAAACGTATTCAGGTCACTCACCTCCAACGTTCAAGACTAACATCATAAGTAAACAACAACCAGTTCTTGAACGAGTTGAAGCTTTGATAGGCATTCAAGGGCGAGAAAAGTAATTTTTCCAAAATAAACAATATCTAAGAAAAAGATGTCTAATAACCCCAAAAAATCTAAGTCTCTAAAACCAAAATTCTTATTCACTCGTGACATTCCCATTTGTTGTTTCCATTAACAAAGCATACACCACAATTTGTCATTGCTTCAATTTATGATGTCTATATTAAAGTATCATAGGTGAAGTGAACAAATAACTTTCGATCACAAATAGAAGTAAAGATGAACTCAGTAGTTAATGTCATGAACTCGAAAACCACATTTCCATACAGCAAATAACAGTAATAATAATGATAACAAAGCCGGAACCAGAACAACTAATAATTCAAATAAATACTTATGTAAATAGTCACCAGTAAATTGGAGGTTTCGTGTTGGTTCTCGTACGAAACGGTGGGAGAAAGTAATAACGTTCGCCTCGTTGATAAAGGAACATGTTCAAGCAGCTCGTCAATTTCACCCTCCGGAACGCAAAGGCTTAGACAAGCCATGGATTTCAGTTTTGGTACATGAAAAAATATAAATTGGTTATCGGATTAAAAGGGGAGAAAAACTTTAATTCGTGGGTTCCATAAATATAGGTTCTAAAAGAAGAAAAGCAAACAAAATGGCGCTCCAGCGTCGAAACTTACAACTTTTTTTTTTTTGGCAGGAAAGGAGAAGTTGCAGGGTGGGATATAGTAGAATAAATTCATTGCGTGAAATTAAATTTGTTTTACCAACTGTATGGGCCGGGCTGTCCTTGCCGATTCGCTGCCTCGTCCAATATTTACGAGAATATGAATATTTATATTTGACCCGAAACTGGGCTTAAATTTAGACCCGATTAAAATATGAATACATTTTAGGGTTGTAGAATAAATTAGCTCATATTAAATTAATAAGTGGTCAAATAATTTTTTTAACGAAGTATTGTTTTAATTATTTTTAAAATTTTATAATTAAATAATTTTTAAAGTTGAAAAATCATTTCTATTGAATTATTACTTGAAAATTATATAATTAAATTTCAGAATTTATTTGATGGTAAACTATTAAATAAAAGTTTAGTTGATATAATAATCATTAAAGATGAACATATTGATTCTGTGTTGTCAAAGACATATCATAATACATATACTTGATTAAATTTAAATCTTGAATTTTGTCATGCGTTATCTTATAAAATATAGACATGTATTTAACGGCTAAAAACCAGTATGTTTGACGTGAGTCTCTCAAATATCGCATTTTGTAGATACATTTTTAAGTGTTTAAATATAATCTTTTAAATATATATTGATTGAGTTATTGAATATAAAACTTAAACATGTGTGTTGTCGTTGTTTGGCTTGTTCAATTATGTGTCTTTAAAATATACTGTGTGTGATTGTTCTTTTTAGACAAAATTTATATAATTTTATATTTTTTTCTCTCTTTTATTTTGGCATAACCTTTAAAAGCTCTTATTGATTTTTATCACATAAGACTATTCTTATCAAAAGCACATTTGGTGGGCTAATTTTCTCAAATAATGCAGTTGAAAAAAAAATTGTTCGAATAGGGTACTCTCGAAATTATTTCACGAAATAGAGTGAATGCAACAGTAAACCTAAAGACGCATTGGAGTTCAAGCGACTTACATATAAATTTGGGGGAGACACATGTAGTGCAATGCATATCCCATATTTTTTTCACCAATTTTATTACTATGTAAATGTACAAAGGGTAAATTACACAATTAATCATTCAACTTTACTCTCTCTCCAAATTCACTCACTGTACTTTTAATTTTTTCAATTTAATCACTCAACTTTTATTTTACTCCTATTTTGATCACTATACAATGACATGGATTGTTTTACTCCTATTTTGATCACTCATCGACCATTGTTCAAGTTGTTATATGGAAGCCAATTTGATCCATCAGCTCTAGCATTGAATTTGTGTACTAAAGAAACCAACATCATGCTCACATAATTTCTAATTAAAATTGGGTTTAGGTGGGAGTTATGACCCCACTAATTTATAGTATAATAAAACTAAATTAATTAAATGCAACTGCACTGTTTTGGACAACAATTTCAATTAGAAATTATGTAAGCACGATGTTGGTTTCTTTAGTACACAAATTCAATGCTAGAGTTGATGGATGAAATTGGCTTCCATATAACAACTTGAACAATGGTCGATGAGTGATCAAAATAGGAGTAAAACAAAAGTTGAGTGATTAAATTGAAAAAATTAAAAGTACATTGAGTGAATTTGGAGAGAGAGTAAAGTTAAATGATAAATTGTGTAATTTACCCTTTGTACATTTACATAGCAATGAAAACATATGGGAGACGCATTGCACTCCATGCGTCTCCCCTAAATTTATATGTAAGTCGCTTGGAGTCCAATGCGTCTTTGGGTTTACTGTAGCAATATCCTATTTGAACAAAAAAAATTCAACTGCATTATTTGAAAAATTAGCCCATTTGGTGAGGTGCGCTTCTTAACAAAAGAACTTGAATAAAGATAGATACGAATAGATCTGATTACATCGATAAATGAATGACAAAATATGATTTAACTATAGAAAGATCGTAAAAAAAATCACAAATCAGAGTCGAGTGATGTGAGAAAATTATTCATGAATGCAATCTCATATCTAAATCCAATTCGAGAGTTCAAAATACGAAAAATCATCATGATAATAAATAAATGATATATTGACCACTCGATGCGACGTCGAATCAAACCCTAAAAAAAAGAAACGAAAAGAGCAAAAACTATTATTTTTATTTCGAATCAAATATTTAAAAAATTATTTTTTATTGAATTGAGATGATTACAATGATCATTCTAAAGGTTCTAAATCATAAACGTTAAAAAATCTATGCATATGACGGTGTTCAGACCCGAGACCCCTTGAGACAACTTAAAAAACAATTACTATTATATATATTTGAATAATATTATATATTGAAACATGCAAAAGGGGATATAAATGTAATATTAGATCAGCAACGGCTAAATCCAAATACCCAAAAAGAAAAAGGAAGTTGCAGTGCATCCCTGGCCTTTGTGTTTTGTTCTTTGTTTCATAATGTAAAAAGTGTTTAAGATATTGTCCTGCATGCAACTGCGTAAAATGTTGCAGATGATATCTTAGCCGTTAATCTACTAACGTGATTTTTTACTTCACTTTATTTTCTTTTGTTTTTCTTCTCATCTATTTATATTCTATTATTTTCCACATTTACTCCTCAGTCGTCTTCTCTCTCTCTCTCTCCTTTCTCTTATTTTCTTTCAACTTAGACCCACATCGCCTTTCTACTCGTTTCCAGTTGTTTCCAGTTTCCTCAGCTCACCCTCTTCTCTCTGGCTTTTGTTTGTTTCGTGAGAAAAATTCGAGGGTGTTTTTTCTCCCTATGGCTTGGCTTCACGTTTTTGTTCTTCTTCTAGCCGTTTCTCAACCAACAGCTGACGAAGGTAAAGCTTTTTATGTCCGACTCTTCCATTTCCCAAATCTTTGCTTAATACTTCATTTAAAGGGAACTTGCTCTCTTTTCGATAAGCTTTCTGGGTTTTCTTTTCTTCCATTTGTTTGTTCTTCAAGTCATTTGAATGCTAGAAATCTGATGAAACATGTACTGTTTAAAACGTGTTTGAGGGAGAGTGTTTTGACTGTAATGAAATTCTTTTACGTTTTTTTTACTTTGCTTTGGGGGATTTTAGTAGGTCTAAAGCATTAAATTGGGGAATAAGTGAGGACAGAAGGGAGGTTGGGGGTATTAAAAGATCATATATATATATATATGATATGGCCTACATGTCAGCTAATGAGAACGTAATTGATAACTCTCCTGGGAAGAAAGGTATATAACCGGTTATAATGGGGATACTCTGTGTACAATGTGGAATCCAGCTTTCATGCTGAAGATAGGGTAGATTAAAGGAATAGTTTTTTCCCCTCATTTTGTTCTTATTTTCCCACTATAGCATTCTTTTGCTGAAACTGAATACAAGGAAAAGGAAAATGGAAACCCAAAACCATGATCTTTAGTGTAAAAACATTGGTTAAACAGGTTTTTAACTGATTCAACTATCATGCCATTTTTTATATATTTGCCAGACTCGAAACATTTGTCGGTTTCCTGTTGAACGGATCCCATTTTTTATTATTTAATAATCAAGGTAGCTCTAATATTGTTCAGCAGGGTAGATCCTAGAGGTAGTTCCGTTGGTTCATTTTAGTCCTTCACTGCATTTTCTTTAAGAAAAAGAGAAAAATCTCGGGCAGTGGCATTTCCACTTACCTCGGTAATGAAATAAAATGGTCAAAAGATTACTGGATTTAGGAAATGTTGCTGGCTTTGGAGCAGGGAACATACCAGCATTATTATATATATGTTCATGTCTCAATGCTTTTGATGTAGCTAGCATGCACCCATGTTTGTATAATTTTTATAGAAATTTTCACAATGGATAAGTTTATTTGTTGGAACTCTACTTATCATGGTGGGGTTTCTATTTTAGTGGACCGACTATCTTGCTGGTTGCATTCCATATCCGACGCTTTCACCTAAGTCCGAGTAACATAGGGTTGTCACACTGTCTTTAATTCGATATCAGAATCGGACATTCTCATCTTATTTTAAAGTTATTTGAAATTTTTAAGGAACATGATTAATCGACTTTAAAGCATTTGCTCTGTAGAGAGATCTGTTTTAACTATTTTGGCCTAATTTTGTTGTTGCAGATCCATATATTGGAGTGAATATAGGGACAGATCTATCAATCATGCCACACCCAACTCAAGTAGTTGCTCTTCTTAAAGCTCAGAAAATCCAACATGTTAGGTTGTACGACGCAGACCGAGGCATGCTAGTTGCTCTTGCAAATACTGGGATTCGAGTTATGGTTTCTATTCCCAACGAGCAACTTCTTGGCATTGGACAATCGAATTCTACTGCAGCTAATTGGGTCTCTCGGAACATCGTTGCACATTATCCAGCAACCAGCATCACTGCAATTTGTGTTGGTTCCGAGATTTTCACTACTCTTCCTAATGCGGCACCAGTGCTTGTGAATGCCATGAAGTTTGTTCACGCTGCCCTCGTGGCATCGAATTTAGACAACCAAATCAAAGTTTCATCGCCTCTTGCTTCATCTATAATCCTTGATTCTTTCCCACCTTCCCAGGCCTTTTTCAATCGGTCGTGGAATCCGGTTATGGTCCCTATGCTTAAGTTCTTTCAGTCGACAGGATCGCCGCTCATGCTTAATATATACCCTTACTATGACTACATGCAATCAAATGGCGTGATTCCACTAGACTATGCACTTTTCAAGCCTCTTCCTCCGACCAAGGAAGCCGTCGACTCTAACACACTAGTCCACTACTCCAATGTCTTCGATGCAATAGTCGATGCTACATATTTTGCCATGGCTTTTCTGAACTTCACTAACATCCCTGTTATAGTGACCGAAACCGGTTGGCCATCGAAAGGTGATTCCAATGAACCAGATGCCACAATAGAGAACGCCAACACATACAACAGCAACTTGATCCGCCATATGATAAACAAAACCGGAACTCCCAAGCGCCCTGGAATTGCTGTCAGCACTTACATCTATGAGCTCTATAATGAAGACCAGAAACCCGGGCCAATCTCAGAGAAGAACTGGGGTTTGTTTGATGCAAATGGTGACCCTATTTACATACTACGCTTGACAGATTCAGGGTCATTGTTAGCAAACGACACCAGTAATCAAACTTATTGTACCGCAAAGGAAGGTGCTGATCCGAAGATGTTGCAGGCTGCTTTAGATTGGGCATGTGGACCAGGAAAAGTAGATTGTTCAGCATTGTTGCAGGGAAAACCATGTTATGAGCCCGACAACGTGATCGCACATGCAACTTACGCATTTGACACTTACTATCACCGTATGGGGAAGACTCCCGACGCATGCGACTTTAATGGGGTTGCAGATATTACAACAACAGATCCAAGTAAGATGAACATATACTGATATAATAACATTATTGCTTACATGAAAAGGAAACTAATGCAAATTTGTTTCTTTCACAGGTCATGGTTCTTGTACTTTTCCAGGAAGGTAAAAAAGAAATAACAACTTTTACCCTTTGGCTTAGTTTTTTCTTTTCTTTTCACTTGTCCTCGTTTGATATGTTATTTGTTGACGCAGCCTTGGAAGGAATGGAACTATGGGAAATAGAACAGCACTGTCGATGAACTCAACGAGTTCGGATTCGCCGGGTCGGAATTTTTACAGTGGGGGAGGTTTCGCTACCGTGTTAGTGGTAATCAAAGTTATGCTGTGGAGTGTAATCTTCATGTAGGATGGTGGTTTCGTCTGAGTAGCATCTCTCTATGATCCCCAGTGTTTTCTATAACACTAGAGAATACCAAAAGATGCGATATCAAAGGGTACTTCTGGATACGCGGTTTCCAGAATTCTAATTTATTTGTTTATTTATTTTCCCGTGAATTCTTGCGCTTTTTTTTTTTTGCTCGATGATGATTGATATTTGCTTTAACCACACTGAAAGTAGAGATTTCGAAGGATTCAGTTTTTTCCTTCTTTGGTTTAGTGCAAAGTTGCTATGCTTGTTGTGTATGGTTTTAGCTTAATGATTCTGTTTTCTAGGAGCTTGAGGATAATGTCCCTTTCTTTTAGATTATGGAAGAGAGCTTTTGTCATGCGCTTGAAGTTTTGTCTGTTTTATTTGCCCTGATTTTCTGAGGTAAAATGCTTCCCTTCTTTGTCTTTGATGTGGAAAAACCTTGGCCTTTCAACTGAGAGCAATTAAAGTTAATTTCATTTCCCTCCTTTTCATATAAATTCTGTCTCTCTATTTTTTCTTCTTAAATCCTTGATGATTTTGGCTTACAAGAAGGGTTAAAGTTAGAGAATGCAAATATTAGCAGAAAAAAGTTTCCATTAGTTGTTGAATATAACCGGTTTAAATCTAAATATTGATGTCCCTAAATGGTTGCATATACTACACTTAAACAAGCTTAAGTCATACGCAGTGCACTGGCTTGAGAAAAGAAGTAAAGCATTTGAAACAACTTATCTCTAATCTTTGTTAAAGAGTTCATTCTTGTTGACTGAAACGGCTAAGTCTCAGCTTAACATACACGTACGATTACTATCTGCATATTAGCTCGACATCCCTATTTTGGGAACATGTGGCAGCAGCTTCTCATCAATAGATTTATTGGGTAGGACACTGTTACGATGATTAGTTTATTTCATCAGCCTGGTCAAGGTTATCATTATAATGTCAGACCAAGGAATTCTATAATCTTAGTTATGCACAAGAATTGTCGGTTGGTTCTGCAAAACTTGGAGACTATCTTATCACGAAGTGTGATGTGCTCATGATGTCTTTGTACTTGTTTTTCACAACCACCATGTTTATATCATTTACACTGAGGGAAACTCAAGACTCACATGCTTTTCACAGGTTTGTTAACTTGCATTTTTTTTGGCAGGGCATATGACTGCGCAAGCAGTGCAAGTTTGTGCAGCCATAGGATTGCATTCTTTTTAATTTGTTTAGACTCTCGGAGTCATTCAATCAGATTATTTGGTGGATGAAACTGTGGCTAGAGTGAGACGGCAGCGCTTTGACATTGTTAAAATGCATCATTTTTCCTTTAGTCCTCAAATATGAATTGGATTTTCTCAAATTATTGCAATGCAGCTTCAACATATCATGCTCGACATTGGCTTTTGACATTTTAGTTTATATTTATTTACGTAATTGAATCTTATTCGATTTATCACATAACAAATACGCTCAAAAGTCTTTTTATTGATTTAAAGTATCTCTTGGCTTTTCGTTCGGACTTCCAAGCATTTGCCATTAACGTTAAAGGATGTTGTTTCCTTTGCAAATTATGATTGGCATCCTAGTTTTTCTATTTGAGGTCCACAATGATTAGTGCCGGCCCAGTACATGTGTCAGATGGGCCTTAGCTCAGGCAGCATGTTTGAGGGGCATCAGACTGTCGGGGTTATAATAAACATTCGTGAAATACAAAGGCTAAATAATAAATATGCATGTTTTGACTCGGGGGCCAAAAGGTATTAATTTAAAAACAAGCATGACTCACTCAATAATAAACCCATTCGCCCGACAATGAAATACCTTGGACCCTTATTAAACGACACCGTTTTATTAAAGTTAAATAACACCTTAAATTAACAAAACCTAATTTCTGCCACACTCAACCTATTACCCTTCTTCTCTTCCTCACCCTCGCATGGCCGAAAGCAATGGCTCCTCAAGCCAGATAAAATCCGACCGACCACCATATTTTGTTGGCCACTCCTCACTCCGTTCACTGCCAACGACAGCCCGAGGGGCCAAACGACTCCCTAATCGACCTAAACCGCTCGAAACGATTCTCCTAACCTCTCATCTTCTCGACTGAATAATCCCCAAACCCATGGACGCCATTTGCTAACCATAGATCGGTGAAGCTCCACCTCTTGACCACCATCCACGACAATGGATCAAACCCAAAGCCGCTTCTAAAACGAACCTGACCGATCACACCTTCACTCCCGACAATAACCCCGACGCTCGGCCAAGGTAAGTTCTCTCTTTTCTTTTTGCTTCCTTTTTTTTGTTTTTCACTCGAACTGATCCACTTTCCCTGTTTTTTATTCTTTAGATTTAGTTTTGTTTCAAAAATTTTATAAAGCTTAATCTCATCTACAACAAAACCCGTACAGAGTATGGATGGAACCAACAAGACCCTTTTTGCGTTCGAACTGCCCGGGTAAATCCCCCAATCCCTCTCAATTTAGGTTTTAAATAACAATCGCATACACAAAAAAAGGGGAAAAAAACGAACTGGAAAATAAAAAAATCGAAGAAGAATTTTTCGAAATACATGTACCACTATAGCTTTTCTATTTTTGAATTTGAGATTACACCATTGTTCCTTTTCGTATCCCCTTTTACACTGTAAAATTGCAGATCCTTCTTCTTTTGTTGATCTTTCTGTGTTTGGTTGATTTCTGGTTCTCTAGTCGATCGTTTCTGTTTTTCTCTTTTTTGCAGATTCCGACAATTGGAGCAACAACTTGACTAGGATGTGGTCCCATTCCGACATGAACAAACAATGTTGCTGTTCTGTAGGCCTTTGACCTATCTGCGTTTGCTCTTTTCTCAAATCGAGTATTGTACATTTGTACTAGGGAATATCTGTAGATGCTGGGGCGTAAACCAGCCTTTCACTGCCCTCCATACCAAAATTTAGGTTCAAATTGGCCCTTTTATTTGACTACTTGGTTTAACTGGGTAATTGTATTCGGCTTATTGGATTAAATAGGTTAAATAAGTACCGAATTAAACGAAGAGCATTCATGTGACAATGTTAAAGGGACTTTTTTTTACTATATGCTTTAAAATTTCACTGCTAGATAAGGATAGCAGCGGAGTGATGAACGTTGCTCGTTGTAGTTTTTTGCAAAGTTTTGATTATCGTAAAATAATAGAGGTTTTTGCTTCAAAAAATGTACGAAATCATCGTTTTAGGTGATATTTGTAACTTTGTAGGTTTTGGATGAATTTATTGGCTTTCGTGGTTCTAATTCTTGTCTGGCTTCGTGAGCTATTTAAAGTTAAACTGATAAGTGTTCGGAAACCAATATCAATGAAGTGCTGTCCTCGCTCTCTTCGCTCTACTTTTTGTTATTTATTTCTTTTTCCATGCATATGGTTTTTCATATTTGGCTCTCTCTCTACTGCCACAACATTCATGCAGCTCCTTACTCTGTTCTTCTGGAATCGTTGTGAGGTATCAGCAGTTCACAGGTTTATTCAATGGGCGAATCCAGACTTCCATATCACCTCATACAGTGATGAACCAAGGCGGGGTGGGTGCCCTTAAAATTTTCAAAATTTTATATATTTTAAATATTTTATATTAAAAATCTCTTTCCTTTCTCTCTTATAATTTTTATAAGTTTATCACCCCTTCAAATTATATAAAATCGCTCTCCTAACATAAATTTTATCCGTATGTGAATTCAACCATGCTTGCATCTACTTTACACATTAGAAGTTTGAACACTCTAAATCTAGGCCCGGCTAATACGAATCCTTCTTATAGGCTTGATTCAAGAACTGGATCCAACCAAGTGTGTCGACAAAGGGAACTTTTTTCGACGTTAGATGTGTATGAATGAGTGATAACAGTACAAACGAAACAATACAAATAGAAGAAGAAGAAGAAGTTGGCATGCAACGAAGAGAGATAAAGAAAGACCATTAAATGCACTCATTAAACTTAAGTTTTTTTTCTCATTCGGAAAGAAAGATGAAAAAGGAGAAGGGTTTATTAAAAAAATATTTTTTAAAAGTTAAAGTATTATCAACATGGCAGTAAAGTGCTACATTAACATTCTCTTATGTTTAATAACGGTTGCTAACGATGAGTGACTAGTTTGTTATAAATAAATAATGTCAATGATCAATTGTTAATTTGAAAATTTACGTTACGTGAGTAAAATTAAGCATGATTTAAATACTAAATGCGTTTTGGTACCTAGATTTTCATTTTTATCAAAACTTAACAGTTGGTACTAAAATGAAATAAAAAATAAACTTTAGATATGATTTTAAAAATTGAAAATTTAAATACCAAAACGAATTAAAATTGATAGTTTAAGTACTAAATGCATAGTTTATGCTATTTTATTTTAACTCAACGTCAACCACTTAAATCCGTTGCAAAATCTAATGTTGTCGCCCTTCATTTTTTTTCCGTTTGCACCACCAATCGTCCTTCATTCTGGACCAATCATATAAAGATGTTTGACTTAAACGGCAACAAATGAGATTTGAAGATTGGTGACTATAAGTTTTTTAAGAATTTAGGAATTTTAAGGTGTTTAAAAAATTAATAATTTTAAATTTACTTAAAATATTAATAGAAATTAAAAATCAGATAACGTGTCCTGTATTTATCGTTTTTATAGATATCAAATACCGACTGTTCATCTTTAGAATAATAATTAGATAAAACATTAAATACTTATTTAATAATTTAAAAAAAATTAAACAAAAAGTAATTTAAATATTCAGTTTTAATTAAACTCAAATTTGTTTAAAAAATAATTATTCCTCTTAAATTTTAATGATATTATATTTTTCTATCACGTGATATATCCATGTGTTTGATAAATATATTTTGAAACTTAATTAGTATATTTTTTAGTATATTTTATATTGGACTTATTAAAATTTAATATAATATTAATTCAATGAATTTTTTAATTAATATAATATTAATTTTTAAAAATTAATTAAACTATTTTGATGTTTATGAAAATATAAAACTGAATCTTTTGATAGAATTAACCATATATATATATATATATGTCGGAATTTCGGAAAGTAGTAATCCTTGAAAATCTTTAAGACAAGCACCAAAATGTCACTCCACCTACTCGAGCATTTTAGAAGCTGAAGCCTGGATTCCTTTCCTAAAAAATAACATTTTTTGTGAGATATCATCATCTCCACCTACTCGATTTACCTCTCTGTCCCGAATCTTCTTTTGAGTTTCCAGCCCACTTCTTTTTCTTTATCCTCTTTCCCCTTTTCTCTGTTTTTCAGTATAAGCATCAATAAACTCTGTTACCCTCTTCTCTCATCCCATCATAAAATGTCACTCTCTTGCGGTGTCGAGTGCGTGCTCTTGCTGGGCTGTTCGCGTTGGGCATGGAAGCGCTGCACCCACGTTGGTTCTGACGACAGTGAAACCTGGCCATTAGCTACCCCCGATGAATTCGAACCTGTCCCCAGAGTCTGTCGTTTAATCCTAGCTGTCTACGAGCCCGATCTCAGACACCCCCAGTTCCCTCCCGACGGTGGATATCGGCTCAACCCGGACTGGGTCTTGAAACGCGTCACCTATGAAAACACCCAAGGTCGTTCTCCGCCTTATCTTATCTACGCCGACCATGATCGGAAGGAAATCGTGATGGCAATCAGGGGACTCAACTTGGCCAAAGAGAGTGACTATAAATTGCTATTGGATAATCGGTTGGGGATGCAGATGTTTGACGGAGGATATGTCCACCACGGGCTGTTGAAATCGGCTGTTTGGTTGCTGAATGAGGAGAGCGAGACGTTGAAGAGGGTTTGGGAAGAGACCGGGAGGGAATATCAGTTGATATTCGCCGGCCATTCGTTGGGGTCGGGGGTGGCGGCGTTGATGGCGGTGGTGGTTGTTAATCACAGGGATAGATTGGGCGGGATTCCCCGGAACAAGATTCGGTGCTATGCGGTGGCGCCGGCCAGGTGTATGTCACTTAACTTAGCTGTCAAGTATGCTGATGTTATTCACTCTATTGTGTTGCAGGTGAGAGTCGTTTATTTTTTATACCCAAATGTCATATTGTTCCTGTGTCACTTGTATGAATATTAGACTCGTTACTCGTGTCGTGTGTGTGAATATCGGATATGAATATTAAACTTGATTTAAGACATGAATATTTAACAAAATATTAAGCCGGAACAACATATCCCTATGATTTCTTTCCAGGATGATTTCTTGCCAAGGACTGCCACACCCTTGGAAGATATCTTCAAGTCAATATTCTGGTACTTTTTCCCCCTTCTTCTCTTATTTGCTTATGCATCTTCTCATTTACCATTCTCATTGAGCTTTTCTATTTCGACCATTTTGTGATGCTTTGGACAGCTTGCCTTGCTTGTTGTTTCTTGTTTGCTTGAGGGACACCTTCATACCAGAAGGTAGAAAACTTAAAGATCCCAGGAGACTTTATGCTCCCGGACGAATGTATCATATCGTCGAGAGAAAATTTTGCAGGTACCTAAGTTTCTAGAACTCTTGCTTCTTCTTCATCTTTACATCAACTTATGCAGTTATTATGCAATTCGAGTCCACAGATGTGGGAGGTTTCCCCCACAAGTCCGAACGGCCATTCCTGTCAATGGGAGGTTTGAACATATTGTATTATCATGTAATGCAACATCCGATCACGGGATAATTTGGATCGAAAAGGAAGCAGAGAAGGCTTTGGAGGTGAGTGCTTTTCGTTTTTTTAATATTTAAAGCTTCATTGCTTTTCCATGGATTATCAGCAATAGCTTAATTTGTTGGTTCCGACAGGTTATGAGACGGGACAAATCCGAGACGATAACCGTTCCACCAAAAGTACAAAAACTGGAGAGGTTGCAGACCATTGAGAAAGAACACAAAGATGCATTGCAAAAGGCTGTCGGTTTGAATATCCCTCATGCCGTATCTGCATCCGATGAAAAAATCGAGAATGAGGAAACCGAAACAGAGGCTGCCGGAGCCGACATCGGAGATAGCCCAAAACCCAAATCGGAGTTGAGCCCTGGAGGGACTAACTGGGATCAGTTGGTTGAGAAACTTTTCAAGAGGAGTGAGTCAGGGAAACTGGTTCTAAACAAGGAATCAGATATTCCTGGGATCCAATAGCTGCAACCTTACTCTCTCTCTCTTTTTCCTCTTCAAATTCCTCGGCATTGCGGTGAATGTACAATTTGAGGTTAAATTGATAATGTATATACAAATTCTTTAAAGTTTTAAACATTACGATTATTTCAAACTACGTATATCCAATATGACATGATTTTTTTTTTTAATTTCGAAACCCATCTTTATTGTCCTTTAATAAAGAGAATAAAACATAATTCATAATACAATATCATAATTTTTGTACTTTGACCCAAGACTGACAGCTCCCATCTATCTATCCCTTCCACACTCTCCTCTTCTATCATGGCTGGTGAACGTTTATTTAATTAAATCCGTTTTATCAAGTAAAATACATGTCAAATGGTTTGATTATTTATAATAATAAATACATATTAAGATAATAAATAATTGAGCAAACAATACAAATTTCGAATTTGATTGTTTTATTTATATATCACAATAAAAATATATGTTATATATATATTAAAATATAAATAAAGAAAGAATAAATGTGTGTAAAATATTTATTTTACGTGGAAAATCCCGAGTAGCTGAAACTCCAAGACAAGCACCAAAAGCAACGACTAGAAAGGGTACAGGTTGTTCAGAGTTGAAACGTTTTCGTGGATGTCGGAATTTCACATTTCTATGTAATTTGATCTTTCTCTTCTGTCGAATCTTTTTCTTCCCTGTTTCCATGTGCTTTCTTCTCTCTTCTCTCTCTGTTTCCATCGATTATCCCCTCCTTTTTTCATTACAAACATCGGTTAAAATCTTTTATCCGATTCCTCCTTCCCACCATAAATGTCTGTACCTTGCGGTGTCGAGTGCGCGCTCGTGTTTGGCTGTTTGCGTTGGGCATGGAAACGCTGCACCCGCGTCGGTTCAGACGACAGTGAAACCTGGCCATTAGCTACCCACGACGAGTTTCCAGCCTGTCCCAAGACTGTCGTTTAATCCTAGCTGTCTACGAAACCGATCTCAGAAACCCGCAGTGCCCTCCAGACGGCGGATACCGACTCAACCCAGACTGGGTCTTGAAACACGCCGACTATGAACAAACCCTCGGTCGTTCTCCGCCGTACCTTATCTACGCCGACCACGACAGGAAGGAAATCGTGATGGCAATTAGGGGACTCAACTTGGTCAAAGACAGTGACTATAAATTGCTTCTGGATAATCGGTTGGGGATGCAGATGTTTGATGGAGGATATGTTCATCACGGGCTGTTGAAATCCGCGGTTTGGCTGTTGAATGAGGAGAGCCAGACGTTGAAGGGGGTTTGGGAGGGAATATCAGCTGATTCTTGCCGGACATTCGTTGGGGTCGGGCGTGGCATCGTTGATGACGGTGGTGCTGGTTAATCACAGGGATAGATTGGGTGGGATTCCCCGGAATAAGATTCGGTGCTATGCGTTGGCGCCGGCGAGGTGTATGTCACTTAACTTGGCTGTCAAGTATGCTGATGTTATTCACTCCATTGTCTTGCAGGTGAGATTATCTATTTTTTCTCCTCGAATTGTTCTCTATTCGAATACGGTATGTGCCTAATACAGTCTGGTTAGAGTTTTCTAAGCTTTAATGGAAGTATACCCTCATGTCAATGTCTGCAAATAAAGTTGAGTAACATTGTTCGAGTCTATGCCGGTATATATTCGGAGCAGAGAAAGTAGCAAAATAGTATATGGAAAGGAATATGTGATGACTGCCTCTAAAGCAAGGAAGAATGGAATGAATAAGAACCATGCTCTTTTGAGTCCATTACTATCTGATACAAGTTTAATCATTATTTATAACTGCGATTTTCACAATTCATGCATGGATTCTTCGTATTTGGATCGCAATGCTCGATGCATTGGAAAGTAACGAACCCTATGTTAGCATTCGAACATTTTGTAGCAGAGTGGAAGATTGGTTTCTTTCTTGCTTTATCATCGATATTCGATGTTTTCGACCTGCATTTATATTAGTAATGTTGCTTAATCACTTTCATTCAGTGAATTTAGATTATATGTAATTGTTTCTCAGGATGATTTCTTGCCAAGGACAGCCACACCCCTGGAAGATATCTTCAAGTCAATATTCTGGTAGTTTTTTCTTCTCTTATTTGCTTTTGCATCTTTTCATTTATTTTTCTCTTGCTTACAGATTTCATGTTTCTACTGTTATTTGATGCATTGGGCAGCTTGCCCTGCTTGATATTTCTTGTTTGCTTGAGGGATACTTTCATGCCAGAAGGTAGGAAACTTAAAGATCCGAGACGACTTTATGCTCCCGGACGAATGTATCATATAGTCGAGAGAAAATTTTGCAGGTGCCGGCATTTTCAGACTCTTGCTTCTTTTTCATGTTTACATTGACTAATGCATTTTGTGTATACTTGTTCCTTGAATGATATGTAACCAATATAGTTACAATTCTATCTTTAGATTATGGTGAGGTTGTCTGTTTATTTGATATTGAGTTTACCATGTGATTCGAGTTGTTAGATGTGGGAGGTTTCCTCCAAAAGTCCGAACAGCCATTCCTGTCAATGAGAGGTGAGTGAGTGCTCTTCCTTTGATATTGAGCACATCGTGTTATCGTGTAACGCAACATCGGATCATGGAATAATTTGGATCGAAAGGGAATCAGAGAAGGCTTTGGAGGTGAGTGCTCTTCCTTTAGGTTTAATATTTAAGCTTCGTTGTCGGGCCTTGTATTATCTGCGTAGCTTAATTGTTGGTTCCTGCAGATTATGAGGGAGAACAAATCCGAGACAATAACTGTTCCTCCGAAAATACAGAAACAGGAGAGGTTGAAGACCCTTGAGAAAGAACACAAAGATGCATTGCAAAAAGCTGTTAGTTTGAATATCCCTCATGCCGTACCCGTAGCTGGTGAACCGATTGAAATTGAGATCGAGGAAACAGAAACAGAGGCTGCCGAAGCCTACAAGGCAGATAACCCAAAAGCTAAACCGGAGTTGAGCTCTAGAGGGACAAACTGGGATGAGACGGTTGAGAAACTTTTCGAGAGGAGCGAGTCAGGGAAACTAATTCTAAACAAGGAATTAACTACCCGTCAAATCTAATAGCCAAACCATTTTGCTTTCAGTTTTCTCAAATTAATTGATTCTTTCATATTGTAGACACTTATTTTCGTCCGGATTTATTTTTTTATATATTTTTATAATAATATAATATAATTTTTGAAAATATTTTTTAAAAATATATATATATATATATTATATAGTTTCGAAAACATTTCGAAAATATATATATTATATAGTTTTTGAAAAATTTTGAAAACATATATAATGTATAGTTTTTGAAAATACTTTTGAAAATATATAATATATAGTTTTAAAATCATTTTGAAAAAATATATATAATATATAGTTTTGAAAACATTTTTTGAAATCTTATATAATATTTTTAAATTATTTTTGAAAACTATATAATATATAGTTTTGTAAAATTTTTAAGAATATAATATATAGTTTTAAAAAAATATTTTTAATATATATATATTATATAATTTATATTATATTATATTTTCGTTTCATTTTATTCATTTCATTTAATTTAATCGATTTTTTTTTGGGGTCCAGATCCAGTCCAACAAGTCTCAGTTCGGTTTGGAAGGCCTGAATCAGCCCAGTAAACGTTAGGGTTTGGAACCCTAAAAATGATGTCAGTCAATGCGCCGCATGGGGGAGTCAAGGGGACACGCATGGCCAACAGTCAACACCGAAACGCCCGGTCGGGATCCCGGGACTGACCCATCCCGGGATAGCCGGTCAACCACGAACCTGAGTCGCCAAGCTGTCGCAACCGTCTTTCGGTTGGGCCCCCGGAATTGGGCTTCGACTTAGGTAAATGGATTGGAGTCGCCACCGATCATTTATTTAAAACAAATGGGTTGATCGGATACCCTATTTTTTATCTGATCTGCGTCTTACCAGAAATATGTCGGGCTCGGGAGTCGGTTACGGTCAAGGAAGGATTAACACCCTTGAACCGCCCTTTCGGTACTACGTAATTTTCAGTTGTTTTAATTAATAAAATTATAATTTTAAATTAAAAGGTAAAAATAACGATCTAAAACTTACCTATGTTCGATTGAAAATGTATCCTTAAAGAGTTGAGAAACATGTTAGATATAATAAAATAAAATAAAAAAAAATTTAACCAAAATAAAAAGAAATAAAATAAATAAATAAATAAAGCATAGAAAAATGATAGTAAATAATAATATAAATATAAAATAAAAAAGGTAATATATATAAATAAATAAAATACACATAAAGAAAATGAAGCAATAAATATAATATATATAATAATGATAAAAGGTAATATACGTAAATAGATATTAGAATGAAACACTAAAATACATATATGTAGTTATATATACATAATATATATATACGAATAAAAAAGAAGAGGAAACAAATAATAATATATAAAAAATATATAGATTTAATTGTTAGTGAAAATAATAACAAATAAAATATAGTATAATAGGTAAAAAATGCGAAATCAAGAAAAGAAATTAAAACATGAAGGGATTAAATTGGAACAAAAAAATATCAGGGGTCAAATTTCGAAGTAATTGGGGGAATATTAAATACTTTAAAAAAATGAATATGCCTCGGGAGTAGATCTAGGTTCGAAACTTCGAAACCCCACCCCTTTTTGGTCATCGGCGCAACCCACGTTTTAGGTTATTCGAACCAAATCTCAAGAAAAATAACGTGCACATGCAAAAAAAATGCTACCTTTTATTTCCTTTTCGAATCGTTTACAATAGCTTTGCCTTTGTATCTTCTGTGTTTTGTGCGTAAATCGTGTCTTACAATGGTGAGTTACAATGGCTATTTATAGTGCTTGTGGATCCTATCTTTAGGAATTTAAATCTTAGTAGAACTCTATCATATTTTTAGGAGTTTGAATCATAGCAAAATGTTATCCTATTTTTAGGAGTTTGAATCCTAAAATTATATCCTATTTTTAGGAATTTGAATCCTAGTAGGACGAAAAATGTGTGTTGA